TAACTGAGTCCGTAGAGAGGGCATATGATAGCGATATTGCAACAACTGCTTTTGTACGTGAAATATTCAGTGACCGTGCAAATGGCAAAATACTACAATTCTTCAAGGAGAAGACACAGCAACTTTACGCAGGACATGTAGAAGAAGTCAATTTCCATGTGGTCAATGATATAATACGCAGACGTACAAATTTATTAGTGAAACGTCATACAATGGGTAAAGTTTTAGAGTATCTGCGTACGAACAGTGTTTGGGTCAATGGACCATTAGCAACAATTTCAGCTAATCTCTTTCAAACTGATTGCTCGCATGGTTCTACCAGTGAACGTGATGGTGAAATGTTCTTCCAAGTACATCCAACGGTGCGACAACGTAGACTCGTGCCCATACCAGCTGTACTCTACAAGAGTGGTTTTACTGCTGGTTATGAACCAAAATTAGATGCAACTATTGTAGCTTTTGGACGCCTGGAGGATACTGTCAGTACAATTTATGTTATGCCTGGACATCAAAGTTCTATTTCTCCAACAGATAATTTGGAATTATTCGAAAAGGAATTAATTGAAACAGCCTTTAGTAAAAATGCTTGGAGCAATATACTCACTTCATTGATGGATCGCCCTGGCATGGAAGTACAACTACCACGTTTCTCACATCGTTCATTTGTGAACGCTTCACTTGGTTTACAAAAAATGGGTCTTAAGGGACTTTTCAATTCAGATTTAGCTGACTTACGTGGTCTTACTGGTACTGGTAATAAAGACATATACCTCTCCGATATGATACAAATTAATACATTCAGTACTTGTGGTGAGGAGAAAATTTCTGATCATCATCATGTTGAAATGTACCCCGCACCACCACTACGTAAACGTAACAAAGATGTTGATGCCACAGATGATGATGCCTATGACTCATCAGAGTCTGTAATAGACTTCGGTTCTTTAGTGCATGAATCCGCTTTAGGACGTGGTTTTTATGATGATTTACTTGATCCAAAATACTTAGAACTACCATTGCCATTACGTCCACGACAGGCGCGTGTACCGGATGCGCCTAGATTACGTTTCGATAAACCATTCCTTTATTTTGTGCGCCACAATCCAACAGGCATGATACTCTTTATGGGTCGCTTCAATCCCAGATTATTGCCATGAACTTAATAGCATTTTAATTGCGCTTTTTTACCGCTTTATCACGAGACTTTTCAATTACAGGAATCCTGCCCTTTCAGTAGTTCGTGCCCTCACCCCTACTCTCTCACACTAATCGATTTATTAATTGATTTGCCAGATTGCAAGTCAAAGCGCTGCCGCAAATTTAGCAAATTTTTAGTTATCATATAAGTTAATTAAAGTTTAATTATTTTATAAACAAGAAAAACAAAAACAAAAAACAAATAAATAATTTATACATTTATACACAGTTGTGCCTTAATCACGAATCACTGTGCTTCCACTCCACGTAGCATTAATGGAAATTAATGGAATTTTAATTTGGCAGTGATTCAAGATTGATGCCAGCGCCTGAACGCGAATTATTTATGTTGGCTTAACGCTCGCATTCGTTGAAATTTTTTTATTATGAATTTTATTTAATTTTATTATATTTTTTACACTAGCATTTAAACTATTACTTTTTTTGTTAAACAAATAAATAAAATTTATGATTCGTTTTAAATATAATTTATTTATTATTTTTATATTTATATGAAAGCTTGAACGGCAAACAAAAGTGTATTTATTGCATAGAACAAATTTATTTAGAGAATGAAACACAATTAAAAAAAACAAACATTTTTATATTATTTAAGTATGAAACTGATATGAAATGATATTTTTAAGAATCAATAAATATATTTAATTTTAATAAATGAAAATCAAAATTGTTTTTATTCGAAATACACCAGTAAGTCAAACACTAAGTAGAATAAAAAAAATATAGAAACTTTGATCCAAAAATCAGAGCAAATAGAATTTGCAGATGTACGTGAATAATAACTCCATGCATTAATTCTACCTTTATACACTTTGAAAATAAATTATACTTAAATAATACAACACTACTTTACCCAAAATAAGGCTAGAGTTTCTTCAATAAACGATTTCAAAAGAGTGAACCTATTAAATGTTGTGCATACCTATATCCTGCCAGAGATTCAAAGTTTTTATACAGTAATAATATGGACCAATAGGCTTTACTGGATCCTTACAAACACCGATATAACCAGTTCTATCCTAGCCTAGCCATAGTTTTTTTAAAGTGATTTCCTGCCATTAAACTCATGATCACGGTGCAACGATAAACGCCCCCATTGAATTTTCACAGAATTCTGCCGGTACCAACTGAAGCTATATCCTTGCATATAGTTTTCTGTTTAGCAGAGAGCGAAGCCCAACTAATATCTCTACTGGTTTGAGTTACAGCAAATCAAATCAAGTGAAAGGAAATGCATACAGTCATTCTACCCACTCTACTTTGAGTTTTAACCCTAGCTGATTCGTCACCTCTTTAAACGAGCCCACCTAATTTGGTCAGGATAACCAAAGTTGTGAGCTCTGACTCCTGTCGCACCAAACTTACATCTTCCAACGAGTGCCGCAAGTGAAACTTACTCACTACCATTTACACCCTAAATAGTATTAGATGAAGACTAATCGGTAGTCACCTCTTTTGATTACCATTCATTACCTCGGGACTATTCTAACTGCTTCCCCATTGGGCTATTATACAGTCTAAATTGTTAATGACAACAACAAAAAACACTGTGCCGCTAATCAGCGATGCTGTTGCAGACAGTTGTACATTTTTAACGCCTACCTGTACCGCAAGAACCTAAAGAACGTAACCTAAAGAAACCAGTTGGTTATTAAATAGTATTTGGAATTCCCGATATTTTAACATTATTAAGCTAGATGATATAATACCGTTAATTACAGTATATCGTAATTAAATTACTACTAGACTGAAAAAGTCTATCTGCAAATGTGAGTTGAATGTATGATAATACTACTTCAGACAGTAAAAAGTATCACAGCCATATAATTGTACATAGACCACTAGACAGCAGTATCAAAAAAGTCATCAATTTAGAGTTCATAAAGCAAATGTGTAAATGTACATTACCATCAACATTACGAGAATGGAGTAACAGAAAATCTTTACTTGACCTTCGTTCTAATAAAATCATATAATAAAAGTTCCGTAAATTATTAAATGCAGTCTCAATATATTCGGTTGCAATATATAATCCCGGTTGTGATTTCGATTTCCCGGGCACACCGATTAGACCAAGGATTCTAGTAGAGTTAATTAAGATAGAGGACGTCCGCAAATTCGCTTAAACGATGAGATGAACAACGATTTGAAGGTGCTCAGTACTACTACTGATCGGACTCGCTGGTGGAAGCTACTGGACGTGGTCAAACACGACACGCCTATACTGCCTAACTAAGTAAGTAAAAGTAAGTCGTGTAAAAGAGACCAACAGTAAGGGTCTAGCAGAAGTATTAAACAGACCTGACTTCTCATTCACAAGGAAACTATATTCAAATGTAGAGCTTGAATTGGTACTGGCGGAATTCCTTGGAATTTCAAGTAGGCAGTTAACAGCTCGTCGTACCGAATTGTGTTTTAAGAGCACCGTATCTCTTGTTAAGCATTTACGACAGGTTATCACTTTAAATAATTCTGTATTTCTGCAAGGCACACTATCCCGAAAACTAAAATACTCGTACATTGACATTTACTGTGGTATAAAAAGTTTTACAAAATTTATGCTGTCTTTATATGCGCTATCAAATGGGAGTATTTAGGAAATCGACTACTAATCAACTCGAGCCAACTAATCAATAATTCTTTTCAATCATGATAAAAATAGTATGTCTCTCTTATTATAGCTCCTTCTCTTTTCAGAAATTGTGCAATAATTACACAACTTTTGCTATATTTCTTCTGATATCTCTCTATTTCCCATTACAGTTTCTAGAACATTTCAATCCCCTTTCTTTAATGATCATTGCTGTAATTTCTAATATGGCGTTTTCTCGTAAATCTGATTTACAACATTTAATGCATGTGGGAAAAATTACATTACCTTGTTTTACTAATTTAAATAAATAATATTATTTATCTGTGCAAATAATAAGAGTCCCTCAACCGTGAGCGGCGGTTAGCAACATGTCGTATTAGCTTCACACATTGGTACACCTAAAAGTATACAACAATTTTCTTTTAAAGTCAAAACAGTACATAAATTTGTGGTTTTTGACATTTTCTGGTATTTGTAGCAATGAAAAACGTAAAATAATATTACAACTGTGGTAAGAAACGTATAACATACGATTTCATGTAAAATAGGGAACGGAAATAATACGAAACACACTATAAAAAATAATTGTAATATGCATTAAAACGTAATCTTCTCCTTTAGTTCACTAAAATTGGCAATGTAAAATTCATTTTTGATAAAAGTTTTTAATTAAAATTAATTTTTGAAACTTTTTTTAGGAAATAATTATTTTAAATATATTTTATATACGAGGCTATTTTTTTTTTTGTAACCCTGTAAAATGATTTAAAATTTTTTGCAGTGTATTTTTATGTTAACAACATTTTGTGACAAGCATGGCGATGTGTTTTGTGCCCGAACACACACACACACGCACAAGCACCTGGTTAACTCCATTCGAAAAACAAAACCATAACGAAAATGAAAATGGAAATGAAAAAAACAAATAAACAGATTTTAATTAATTTTTAACAAGAACATAAGCGGTATTCATAATAAAAATCTCGGTGAGCTGATGTTCACTTGCGCCCTGCTCCATTGTTGCTGTTTTTCTGTTATTTTATCGTACATTTTCGCTACAAGCAACATTGTTGTAGCTGCGTTGTTCTCTGTTCACTGTTCTCTGTTGTTTGTTTTTGTTTTTGTACTTTGTTTTGGTTTTGCATACTAACAACATAACCACTTATGTACATTTGAAATGCTTGCTTGTACATATGCAGTGTGTGAAGGCGGAAGAACGGTTCTGTTTATGTGTGCGTGAATAGAACGCTGAATATTTTGTAACAAGCAGCCAAGCAGCCAAACAGCCAAACAACCAAACAGACAGGCAGACATACGCACACATACGAGTATGCAGTGCAATCAAAGAAACAATGAAAGAAGTGGCACACTTTTAGGCGCGGTTACGAATTTTAAACAATTATGATGCAAAATTGCTTGCGTGGTTTGCTTTGGCATTTGTTTTGTTTCATTTCAAGCACTTGTTTATGCGTAAGTATGTGTGTGAGTAAGTTAGGTGCTGTTTCTGAAATTGTGATTGTACTACGAAGTACAGATTCTGGTTACGCCTTTTTCTAAATGGTAATGTGTTTAATTTTACAGAGATTAAAAACTGTTTTTCAGTTTTTTCTTAATTTTTGGCTCTTTTTGAATTCAATAGTGAAAAGGTGACCTACTTTGCGAAAAAAATCAAGTTCCCCAAATAGAAATAGAAATAGAAATAACTCTTTGTGAATAAAGTAAAGATAATTAGTGATACAAAGAGATTTTTAAGATTAAAATTATTTTTTGGAATTATTTTAAAGAGCACTAAATTAAGGTAAAGTACAAAAATAAAAACTTAGAAATCAACCACTAAAGATTACCGTTGCATATTTTCGAGATGAAAATGTTTAAATATGCATCTAACCCCACAATGGATTATAAATTATTTCCAGATAAGGGGGATATATCATTTCATTTTAGTTTGGGAAAAAAATTCGTCGTCTCTTTGTCGTCTAGATATAGATATATCCGGCAGACGGCTAAAATGTCATAGCTGTAAGCTGTATATATATAATATAATTATTATTAATTTTTATGTAATACAACAAATTTAAAATGAAGTAAAAATAAAGCTAATAATACTACTAAATACTATAAAAAATGATCATTTCAAAATAGTTAATTGCATTTGGATGTATCTTTTTATGTTGACTTGGGAAAAAAATTCGTCGTCTCTTTGCTTGATATAAAAAGTCATCCTTTCAAAATAGTTTTGACATATGTTTTGTAATTGTTTTAAACAACAAACATTTAGAGAAGTATGAATAAAACAATGTTTGTCTAAACTACAATTAGTTAAAAGTGAACTAACGAAACTACGATTTTGTACGAAACTACGACTTTGATGCCATAAGATATTTTTGCATTTTGCAATTGTAAGAGAGGATACGAAAAGTAGTGAACTACAAGAACAAAAAAGCAATGTTAACATCCAGTGGCTTCGCTAGCTTGTTCATGTCGTGAGAATGGATAAAAATGTTCCAGCGAAAAAAG